TACTTGTGCTAAACAATTGTGGTATGCGAATAACCTATGGCAGAAGGGGAGATACGACAATTGTTTAGCACAAGTATGGTCAAAGGATCGGCTTCACTTGTCTTTTTGACGAGTTGTTGTGTGGTGCTATGAATGGCGATACTCACTGACGATGCCGGCGAAACGATTGAGAATGTACCACGTCTAAGGTTCAACTTTGGAAATGATCATGCAGACAATGGACCTTGGACTAGGTGCGTTCCAATAAGTCTTCCTACCAATATGACCATGTTGCGAAAACAAGGTCAAACAACCTCTCTATATTTATAGTTTTTAAACTTATGCATTAAGTTTGAAGTAAATTATTTTTCGTACTGCGGAGATAGGATTATGCCCCAGTATCCCAATTCATTTGGCATTAAATGTATTGGTGATAAGTTGTATTTACTAGTGACATATGTAAGAAATGCGCGTTAGTTAAAATAACTATGGGCTGTAACTAAGTCTAGAAGAATCCAAGACGTAAGCTTATAATTTATTGTTTTGAATGTAAATGTGTATATATGAAAACCAAGATGGTGTGGCAGTCTCCTTTTGGTGTATAAAAGTGAGCTGAGCTCGTTTACGCAACTTGGTCGTGTTGTCAGGGTAACTTAGTTGAATGGACCTTGTCCAAAGTCATCTACTATAGTGGTTTTCATAATTCCCAGATATTTGGCCTGCATCGCTAGTGAGTCTTGCCAGTCTCAGCAGCAAGCCATAACTCGTCAAAGAGAAAAGTGAAGTCGATCCCTCAACCTATTTTCTGTCGAATAGTTGTTTTATCACTCCTTGATGCTAAGAATGGCAAGATTCACTGACGATGCCGGCAAAATGTGTGGGAATGTACCAAATTCACGGTCTAACACTGGGAATTATGATGAATTCTAAAGCAGAGGACTTCGGACAAGGTGCGTCCAACTAAGTCGCCTTGAAATCACAACCAAGTCGCGAAAAAGAGGTCAGCCCACTTCTAAATGGTACAGACATCCTATTAATGATGTGGAGGGTCGCAAACTTATTAATAAAGCGTGAAATTAATCTCCATTTCG